AATGGAAAACGTGTACACAACACAGCTCCTGGAGTGTTTGAACTAGCACTCTCACAGAGGGCAAGAAGGCACAACTAAACCTGTATTTCACATGTTCCTTTCTTGTCCCCAAATCAGATTTGATGGAAAGCAGAACACTCTGAGCTCTCTTGTCTTCCTGCAAATGTTCAGGTGCACGGAGGTCAGGCAAGAGCAGTGGTGGATGACCTCTTCCCTGCCTCGCCAGGGAAAGCCAGTGCTCCCCGTAACAGGAGAGGTTTGGAGTGGCATGGAAATTGAATCCAGATCTTGTAGACCACCAGACTTGCTCATGTCTCACACTTGTGCAAGCATCCTAACATCCCAAGCATGAGATCGTTCTCAGGTTTTAGCATAAACTGCTGTTGCATCCAGAAGAGAAGGATCTCCAGAGTGCAGAGCTGGCACCTCAGTAAGGAGGCAGGGTGGCTAGGTCTAGCCACTGTTAGCAGCTGGAAATCTCTCTCACACAAACCTGAATTCTCCTCATTTCATGCCATTCAATTCATTCTGAGCATTTTACTCAATTTAAAACTTGCTTTCTTCAACACTTATTCAGAGATTTTTTTTTTCCACTTAAAGTACTTTCAACTGTTGAAAATAGAGAGCTTTTACATCTCTCAGGTGGTCATTGTTGGCATTGAAGCAGTATTCACGTTGACCATCCAAGAGAAAATATTATTGTTTCCGAAAACTGAAAGAAGAGTGTGTGTTGGGGGTAGGATAACTACAAGCTCTCTGGGCAGCCTGTTCCAGTGTCTCACCACTGTCACAGTACAGAATTTATTCCTAATAGCGAGCATAAATCTACTCTCTTTCAGTTTGAAACCACTAGCCCTCACCCTATCACTACACTGGCTGACAAAGAGTCCCTCCCTATCCTTCTGACAGGCCCCATGACAGTACTGAAGGGCTGAAATAAGGTCTCCTCAGAGTCTTCTCTTCTCCAAGCTGAGCAACCTCAACGCTCTTACCCTTTCCTCATAGGAGGTGTTTCAGCCCCCAGATAATAACCATTAGTGTGTGAAGTGAACTTTGCTTTGGTTTTAAGGGCTTAAAGAATGGCAAATACCGTGATCTACACTGCCAATGTTGAAGCAGCAGACACTGACAATGTATTTTTCCTTACCTTCATAAAGAGGACATGGCTGGTAACTGGAAGGCCTGGGTGACACTGTAAGGATGTCTTTGGTTTCTCTCAGCAGCAGCAAGCAGAGATTTTATTTATTCCCTTTCAGTTCAGTTTGAACAACACTGAACTTCCAGCATTGGGTTGCCCACATCTCTTCACTGCTCATGTCAATGATTATCACAGGAGAGGTGAACAGGAAAACTGTCATCATACTAAGAGGTTCTGAGTGAAAAAAACCAGTCTGAAATATAATCCATATTTAAATAGTTCCAGTATGACTTTCATGCAGCATTAAACAACCCAAAAGGATAAATAGTTCCATATGCTACTCAGATTTCATGGAATGGAACCTAAATGACCACTTCCTATGCTGTAACATGAAGATGTAGGTCCTCCTATAGCAGTTTGAATAATACAAGAAGAGGCTAATCAAGGGATTAGGCTAAGAGATTTTCTGCTGATATAGTCTCTGAAACCTTCAGGAACTCTTGTAAAAGAGAAGTTACCTGATTTGTTTAAGGGGAGCCATAAATGGAATTGCCATCTCCCTTCTCACAGCGGAGGATGATCAGAAACAAATGGACAAAAAAGCATTTGTCTATAAATGGGACTCCTGGTAAACATGATGGAAAATTAAGGTAGCAATGAAAATATGGCTCATGAGCCATTTCCCTGTCCCAGTGTCTTCATAACTTTTCCTGGTTTGCATGCCACCAAGCATGCCATTGATTGCCAAATTCTGGTTACTTCCTAGGTGAATTTTACATAGGTCTATTCCAACAGGCTGTAATTCAAGGACACTTTAGCATTTGCTTTAGTTCTGCCAACTCCTACACCTAGAACGGATCTAGATGGACTTTCAAACTCCTCAGGAAAAAAAAATCTGCCTTTAAAAATAATAACTATTTTTATGATTTAAATGTCTTTTGCTAAAAATATTCCAACTAGAAGATATTCTCTCATCGCTATGGAAGCTAAAATGCTCCTGTATCCTTCAACATGTCTTAACCAAATGACAGCTATGATTAATTAGGGCAAAATTGCTTTGGGTAGGACAGCCACCTTCAGTACAATTAAAAAGAAATGTTCTGGTACAAGAGTCATTGTGCTATTCCTGTTCTCTCAGCTCTACTGCAAATACAGGCTGACAGGTTAATAAAACCATTTCTAAACAGTTTTAAGAAATTTGCCATTTGATTCATGAATTCTGTTCCTCCGTTAACTTATTATTCAGCTACTGAAAACATTTTCCCATCTGTGAGATGACAAAATCCAGTGAAAACAATATTAATATTTATGCTCTAAATAGAAAAGGCTTTCAAAGCACCTTCATAAAGTGGAAAATAAAAGCAGATGTTTATCCAAAAGTTTCTGGTATCTTGCATATTTAAAATATTTCAGCCTTACTGCCAGGATTTGTTGGCTTAAGAGCAAGAGGTTATATTTTGTAAAAGTTATTAATATGGGTGGATAGTGATTTAACTTTTATATAATTTGAATGGTAAGTTCCTATTTTATGGGTCAGTTAAATAACTACAGCTCATACTGTTAAGAATATGTATTCCAAAATTGCCCAGAGGAGGGGAAAAAATAGATTTATTTGGGCTATTTTAAATGTTTCATGATGGCAGTGTTTCCACCTGATATAAGGATCGTTCAATAGAGTGTGTCTGCATATGCACACACATCAGAGCTACTCCTAAAAATTAGATGGAAATGAAAAATACTTTTGAATTAACACTGAACCTTTTTTCCTTTCTTATACAAGGTCTCTTTTTTAATTGATCACAGTGTTTTCTTATGAAATGTGTAAAATCCAAAACCTTACATTAACAATATAAACTTCACAATCACTGAAAGTAGCTGATGGAAAATTAAATATTTTATTTGAAACAATTTTGCAAGTCCTTATGCATGGAATGCTTTCCTTGTATTGCAGCCTACCCACACTGCCACTTTTCTGATCAGATGTATGCTCAGAAATAGGTATGATGTCCAACTGCTAACATTACACGGAGTGTCACTCTAAGGGTCTGCACGTTCCCAGTGAGAGAACACGCAAAAGAGCAGCAGCTTCTACACGTTTTCCTAACATTCTCATAACAGAAATTGTAATAATACACGTGTATCCTGTGCTGACATCATTTTGCAGTTGAAGAGAGCTCATCTTCTAGGTCCAGTGCAGGAACTGACCCACACTCAGCTCTACAGGCAGTATAAGCCTAACTGGCCTAAAATTTGTACCTATCAACAGCAGCTCAAAAGTAGCAACAGGTTCTTCTGTGTGAAGGTTGATACTATTTTATCCTTTTTGAGTATTGGAAAAAATCTCCACACCACTGCACACAGCAGAAGACAGAAAAAACTCTAACCTTTTGTTTACAGTGTCCACGTATAGAAGTGGGTGCATTAACAAAATTCAGGATAGTAAGTCTTGAAAGTGAAAAAATAATAGTAAATAAGATTTATTTCGGAAGACTACTACAAATTCAAACCTTAGCTTTGTTCTTAAACTGGGGGGAGGGAGTAGTGGAGTGTATGTTTCTCTCTTCGTGTGGAAAAGAGAGATTTGAGGATTTTACTAGGGTCTCAGTGATGTTCTGGTAGCTTACTGCAAAAAGTACCTGCCTCCTCTTCTTTACCTGGGTCACTAAAGCTATTCTAATTTATCTTGTAGTGTATATTATTACTGTACAAACACAATAGTGAAGATGAGAGTAATTTGTGTTTATGCACATACATAAAAAAAAAAAAATCTATGGCTGAACTAAGATAGCAAAAATGGCCTTTGAAACCTGCATCTCTCTGAGGGTTCCTGGAGCATTCTGGATCGCAGCCGCTGGTTTTAGGAAAGGGGAACGTGCAGTGGACTACAACAGATTGTTTCCCAACGTGGTGTACATTGCTTATAGGAGGCACTCATTTTTTACTGCTGTTACTTGGCACCATCATGTGGCCACTTTAAGTTTGCTCAATTTAAGGAACAATTTATACAGAAAAATGTTTGGAATTAATTATTAACAATTTACAAATTATTTCAGACTATTTTAGAAGGAAATGGTACGTATCTTAAATACACATTCACTAAATTCTGAACCCATTGTCTTCCAACCATCCTTTTTTCCCCTGAATCTGTGCTCATTTAAACGGTTTTCCTCAATCTTTAAATCAGAAGTTGTTAGGCTACAAAAGTTAAAGACATTTTCAGTGCTTGGTCTTGGTTGAAATTTTATCAGTAATGTACAAAATCCAGTATCATACTATAGACAACTACAGTCTTCCTCACTACAGGAGCTTTGGAAATTATTTTCAGGATTGAACAGGTCAGTATTCTCTGGTTTACATCAGAAATCCCAAAGGATTTAGAATTCCAGTACATCTCAAGTATATTGTTTGCAGAGTGTGATCCAAACAGGTAGTGTACACCTTGACTTATGTATTCCTTTTGCAAAGTTTCAGTCAAAATCAGATTAAGGTATCATATGATGTAGATTTGTATTCTGGTATGTTTGCATAATGTTTTTAGTTAGATATAAACAAAGTTTTACAAAGTGTCAGTGTGTAAAAGGCCCAGAGGTATAAATCCCCATATATTCAGGTTGCTTATACAGAGGCACAACTTAATAACAATCCTTTGGTGAACATAATTTACTTTGGAGTGGAATAAGGAATAATAAGAAACAGTGTAATTTATAGGAATATATTTTTAGTATTTAAAAAAATATATACATCTAGAGTACTTTCAATAATGAAATATAGTCATCACCCTTTTGTGTACAGTAATGCTAAATTTGTTCATCATTTTTACAACAAATTGTTTCAGCTGAAATATTGTACACAAGCTATATACAAATACAAAATTACAAAATACGTATCTTTTAATTGTAGTCAAAAATAATCTAAATATTTGGCAATAATTTCTATAGGTGTACTGTTTCTAAAAATACTGCAATAAAATGACATGTAGTTTTTCAGATTCCTCAGGCTGAGGCAATGCCCACTTCTTCTTTATATACTGAATGTCTATCTGTCCAGACTCCTTGGCCAGTGCAATGCCTAACAGTCCGTTTGTTTTTTCTGGTTCTCCCAGTAGAGCCATAGTTACAATACTGAAATCCAAAGAACAGATGAGTGTTTCTCAACTGAGGCAAAATTAACAGGAATTGGTGTTTTCAAATGTGTTTTTAATAGGTTACTTACAGTTAACTAAATGATTCCCTTTTTCTGTTCATCAGTGTAACATTCCTCACTATTTCAAGTCCCAGCATGTTCTTTACCTTTTCACCAGTTGCATTATTTAATGTAAATATAACAGGTAATTCTTCCTCTGTTTACAAATTCCATCACCAATTTCTAATCACGACTTAAAAATTATTTCAAGCTCATAAAAATAAACTATGGTTTATGGTATTTTCCAGTACAGTGTAACAACTTTAAAAATTATATTATTTTCTCCCAAATCTAGCAGCACTTTGCTACAGTTTACAAGGCTGCAAGGAAAACTTTAACTTTAGACTGATATTCACCAAGACTAACTTAAGCCTAGGGAAGAGAGAGTCTCCAAGAAGGGCTCCCATAAAGGATGAAAGAGAATCCTCAAGGCTGTAACTCAGAAAGGCCAAATTAAACTGGTTTTTGTGCATTAATGTACAGGATACTCAGGTCTCTACACTGACTACAGCAACAGTATTATAAGAGTAGCCTGATGTTAGTCTTGGTGAACACCTGATAGCCAAAAATACTATTTTTTCTTTCTGATAATGAACAGAATGTATTTCTTTATACTGGTAACTATACTATAGATAAGCATTTTACAATGCTGTCCAACATTCTGCCTTTTTTAGGGTTTGATCCTGATCCAGCAAAGCTACAACTGAACTTAAATAGTCCAGTGATTTTAGCGGGAACAAAATATTTCTCTTCATTGAAACAGCAACTGCTCCACATACAGATATCTGTCCCAACTGACAACACTGTATCTGATTTTGATTTATACTAACATTATTTCTCCTTTATCAGACTGTACAAAATAATAAAGATGAAAAAAAAAACAACAGCTCACTATAGTCAGTTTTCACACTTCCAACAGTCTAAGTAGTAGAGTTATACTCAAAATGCAGATGATCATATTAATATTCTGTTAAAATGAGAGTAACATAATGTACTTACTTCTCTGATGGAATAGTCTGCTTTACCACTGGCAACAAATCATTTTCCAGAAGATTCCAAATGTAAATATTAGATGATGCATCCAGGACAAAGAACACAGCAGGTCTTGTTATAGCCCACTGCAGGGCTATAATTGGCTGGCCATTTGTGCTGTCATTCCACTGTATGAGGGGATACTCTGATGTCATTTGGTGTAACCTAATACTTCCATCTGAACAGCCAACCTATACAGCAGTCAAAAAGAAAAATGTTTCCTGGGTACAAAAACTAAGCAAGAAAAAACCTGCAATTTAATTCCCCAGAATACCAGGCATGTAAATAAAATCAGTTATGTGACTCAAAAGGCACAGATCTCTCATATCTCACTCTCTGGAATACCTGGATTTTCATTTTTATTGTTATATTTAATTCAAAAGCAGTAACTCTGTACTGAGCATATTAATGTAATCCACTAACTTGGGTTGAAGTCTTAATTTCCTAGTTTAAAAACAGTTCTCAAAATATCAGCTTCATTAATACTGTGACCCAGCACAACTTGACAGTAGTCTGAACTGGGGCAAGGTCAGAGCCTGGAGATCAATTCAGACAGCTATTTGGTGACACCATCTGTAAAACCAAGAACAGCGTGCAGCAGGACAGGCTGTGCTTAACAGTATAATGATATTAAACTGATTCATAATGAACAACTAAATCAATTGAGAGACAGATATCACTGCTGCCAGATGTTTTCTTGTAACCTTTGTCTTGCCTGGTATAACATTTCCAAGTTTGCTCTAATTCAGGTACAAAAGAAACTATTATATGAAAACAGAAAATAACTTATTCTTACTCCTCTGTGCCACCTTTACAACATGAAGACTTCCTAGAATTTTCAAATTACCATGACTTTTTGCAGTGGCTGCAAGTTGTGCTGATAGTTATAAGGACTCTGCAGATACAAACTTGTAGAAGCCCGTATTACTCTAAAATACTTTTGGGAAAAGCTAAGAACATCCATACTGGTAAAAGAAAAGTTCTGACTGTGCAGAGGTGAGACAACACACTTACACTGTAGCCAAACACATCCATTTTATACCTTAGGCAATCCCAAGGAAGTAGTATAAAACACAGCAAATTTAGAAGGAAAGCATTCTTAAGAGAGGATTCAAGTACAAATCTATGCAAAGATAAGCAGACAGGAAAACCTACCAAAGTTGGATTCAACATGCATTTTTATCATACACCTCTTCATGATACAATTTTGTCTCCAAAATGATTGTGTCACGAAGAGATGTATGATAAGAATGAGAAAGAAGCTGAGGCTTTAACAGCAGAAGACCTGCTTCCAATGCTGAATTTCAGTAAAAATAAAGAATAAGTTCTCAGGCTGAAATAAGGCTGCCATTTGTTGCTGTGAGTCAGATGGTCCACCTTTTACATAAGCAAAGTTTGAACACCAGGACAAAGGATTTATTGCCACCCTTCATGGCAGACTGGAATTAGTGGGGTAAAGCAACTATTACATCTACTTAAATATATCAGATTAGAAATCCTCCCTCAGCAAGTAATTAAAAAATTAAACTTGTATTATATTAAAATGTTTTCATACCAAAAATAGTGACTTTCCAAAAGGGAAGAAATCAATTGCATTGATGGTTATTGATCTCAGACCGCTCTCCTGAGGTCTGAATAGCTTTGGAAGAACTTTTAAATCGTGTCTGGTACCATGGCCCACCAGTCCCTATGAACAATGTAAAGAAAATGAATAAAACAAAATAAAATCTGAGTTATCAGCAATACAAGGAAAAGTTAAATAAATTCACAGAGCTGTTACCTAAAAGATCCTTAATACCTAACAAATATTAATAATAATCTCAAATTATAAATTTTGTATACAGTCTACTGGTAAAATTGCAAGTAAATTGGGCAGCTTCCAAAACAAAAAATAAAGAGATTAACTTCAGCACATTACTCACAATGTTTGTTCCAACAATGAAATGATTAGGATTAGAAGACAGAAATTTAATATTCAGTGTCTGGGGCATCCTCTGGCGCACATCCTTTGGGAAAAGACTAGGGAAAAAAAATGTAGATGACATAAATATAGGAAGTTTTCTCCTAAAGCTATGCAAGTGCATACAGAAACTCTTGATCTAAAATCTCTATGGCTAGCTCTAGAAAGACATGTATGTAAAAAAACCCCAAACAAACAACTAATGAAAATATTGTTAAATACCTTACATAAAAGAAAATTAATAAAGTATAGGAAGAGTTAGCTTTGTGAGATACACATGTAAAATCTAAACATCCCTGTTTCCTTACCTGTTATTCAATTCTGTAGTAGAGCTATGTACTAGCTTCACTTTCCCTCCAGGAATTAAACCTAAAATTATATACAATAATTACTGAAATTGATTTAAGCACTTTGCATTAAGCAAGTGCTATCATCAAATTAAAACTGAAGCTAATAAGTAAAAGGATATTTCATAATTAAATTGTTTATTGTAGATATAGCTTTTAACATGTAAGACTCTCACATCATTTACAACTATTTACTTCAGAATTCAAATCTGAAGAGTTGTAATCTTTGACAGAAATCCAAGAAAGAGGACAGAGAAAGGGAAACATGATTACATGTGTGTTTGGTTTAGTTTCATAGCATTTGTGTAACATCCTCTAATACCACTGTACAAACCCCAGTTCTATTGATGGTGAAAATGCACATTTATATAAGTCACTTGGATCTTTGGCAATGAATTATAGTAATGAGAAGCCATAATAATGCTTCATTAAAGTTGGTCTATGCTACTTGTTAGAAAATAACAAATAATTCAAATCCTTCAAACACAAGAATTTTTTGAAGATGAAAAAACTGAATGCTGGCAGCAGTAAAAATGTGTTGACACAAGACCACAGCTTTAAAATGTTCCTTTCCAAAGACATAATACCCAGCTTTAGCAGCTTAATATAGCCTGACATTGCACAGCAGTTTAGAAATTGGAAAACTGATCAAAAATTCTAGTATCAGATACATGTCTTATTCAGAGTGAAGTTTTCCACAGTAATTTTGCCACCTTCTATTTTTTATCATCCCAGACTCTCTCTTCTGACTTCATAATTTCAAAACTGATGCACTTTACCTCTAATGTACAGTACTCACCTAAATCAGTTTGTGAACCAGCTAAATCAGCTTTTTGTAATTCAACAACTACCTGGAAAGTCAACATTTAAATTTAGTAAGCAATAAATATTTACCAGGCTTTAAAGTTTTTAACTAGTAGCAATAATGTATGACATAATTCTAAAGGAACCTTTAGATGGGTAGATCTAACATTACAATGACTACAGGTAAATTCTCTATCCTGTAATGTCTGCAGTGCTAAAAACAGCTTCACATGCCTGCTGGATGTTCTCTGCTGGAAAGCAGAACATGGGAAGTCTACATTCTATGTTTACTTGCTAGTTGTTGGTTTAGTTGTTGGTCACAAAACATCTACCCTAAACCACCAAGCAAGGAACTGTAACACATCTCCTGTACTATTCATGAAATAGAAAGGGTAGATCATTTGGTCTGAATCAGTCACTACTAAAGTTACCTAGAGCTTTAAGGGACTTAACTAGTGATACAGAAGAGAAATACTTTTATCCCTTTATTATTCACTGAGCCATGCAATTCCTCAAGCAAGATCAATTCAGATGTAGGGCCAAAGCTGCATCAGAAAGACTGAAAGGAGCCAGTGCTTACCTCACAGTCACATCGTAGGCAGGATAATCTTATCCACACATTTTCACATTTTGTCTCTTGAACATTTAGTTTATATAAACTACGCATGTAATTTCTCACATACATTCACTAAAGTCTCTGACACCATGATTCAAGTAAAGTAGGTGAGTGAAAAGACTGAGGTCTATTACTCAAATAATAAGTTATATGTGAACATATTCCTGTGAAGCAGAACTACTGATTGACTGTTTTCATGAATTCATACACCTGCTAATAATTTTGCCTAAGGACAACATCATGGCACTACGTAGACAGGTCAAAAATTTTTGAGAATTCCAGCAGGAGTACAGTATTGCTGTACTTTTCAGGGAGGAAATTCTCATCAGAAATTCCAGATTTGGGGTGCTGTATTTGAAGAAGAATTTAATTATTGCAACACATGATACTCTCTTTTCATACACCCATTAACTCACCCACATATTGAGGATTCCATTTTCATCCATGGAAGCTATCTGAAATGGAGGGGCTGACATTTCTATGGAAGGAATAGTAACAATTTATATTAATATGCTGAGGATATCTAGGGATTCAAGCCACTAATACATTCTCTGAAATTTCTATGATCCTCTCAACTTTATAGAAGGGGAAGTGCCCTAATTCTACCAAAGAAGAAAAAGGCATGAAACGTTCATTACTGAGAGGGTGGTCAAACACTGCAACAGTCTTCCTAGAGAAGTGGTCAATGCCTCATGCCTGTCAGTGTTTAATAGACATTTGGACAAGGCCCTTAGCAACAGGCTTTAACTTTTGGTCAGTCCTGAACTGGTCATGCTGTTTGACCAGATGATGGTTTTAGGTCCCTTCCAACTGAAATAGTCTATGCTGTATCTCTTGTCTATTCTATGCTGAGTTTGTCCTACAAGAGAGGCAGATGATCTCTGCATCTTTCAAAATGTCTGGATTCTGCATGGTCTTTGGAACAGAACGTAAAGTGCAACAGGTGAAACCTTCTCTAAAGGCAGTTTTTGAGTGACAACTTTAACAAGAAGAATAAAATATTATCTTGAAAACAGATATAACAAGCGTGCACCCACATCTGATGTGAAACTGCACTGAATAAACATTACATAAAAATGAGAGCAGAAAACAAACATGAATGTTGTTATGCAATTGATACTACTGACAACTTAAAAGGCAGAATCGAATTATATACAGAATTTTGGCTATGATCTATTTGTTTCACTAGATACCTAAAGAAACGTTCAGATGACTTGATGCTTTGAAGACTAGCTTATGTACATACCCTCCTGATAGGAGAGGCTGGAGAGCCCATAATTCTGATCATTGTAGAGAGAGGTTGAGACAGGTTCCACTGCCAGTATAGGAGAGGTGTGGTTTACTGAGTTTAGAATGCCATCTGTAATTAAGGATAACAAAAGCTAGACACTGTATTACTTTCAAAAAACCAACAAAACTCTGATTGATGATGACAAAGATAGGATGGTAAATAATGTACTTCATAGAGAATTACTTTGTAAAAGTCTCAAATACAGTACTGCAAACTGTTTCGTAAATTAACAAAATACTACTAGATGAATCAGTTTCACCATTTGTATTTACATCTCATTTTCCAAATGACTGCTGCAGCATTTATGCCACTGTACCAGACATTTCATTAAAACCTACATTTCAGAGTTACCATGAAAAGAATCATTTCAAGTTCCATAAACAACAGAGCTAGAAATAAATCACTGTTTACTATAGAAAAGAAAAGTGAAGAAAAAAATATTCGTAATAGAAACTAATATCTTTTCTTGTGGTGTTTGTTTCATGGTACTACTTACCCATCAATAACATTCCAAAATAAATGTATATGTAGAGCAATTTTGAAATGCATTGTCAGGTATTCTTGATTTCTGGCCTTGCCCTGTGCACTGAACGTTATTTTCTTTAAGACTAAAGGCATACAGTTTCCTAAGTGTACAGCATTAAAAACTGTTTGCTTATAGAAGCAACTACATGAAACTGTACACATACTTTTGACTACCAGCCCATTGTGCAACGCAGTACCAAGTGTCTTTGACCTACTACAAAAGTACTACTGCAATTAGATACACTTGTGAACAGAAGAGGATTCTGTGTCTGTGGTTTTTTTTTAGAAAAATAATACCTCAGTGTAAGTTAAACGGTAGCACCTGCACACACAGAGAAGGAAAAATACATAAAGACATTTTGAAATAAAGTTTTTATAAAAATATTGCTATTTTTCACTCTAGGGTACAATACAGCGCCAAGAAAAATGGCATCAGTTTATAATTGAGACAAATGTTGGCATGTACATCTCATACCAAATCTCTCAAAGTACAACTACGTACAATGGAAATTACAATAAGATTAATTATTTGCTCCTCTACTTAAATTTTCAATGACAAACATTGTTAATAGGCATAAAGATGTTTTCATTTCCATCAGATTACTAAAATTTTAAGGATTTCATACAACAATTCAAGTGCAGTGAAGTACTTTGGAGTGCATCTTCTAGTATGTCAGTTATATGGCCTAAGTAAACTTCATAACTTCTGAATTTGTTGTTCATGGATTATGAGAAAATTTGCAAAAGCCTGTGTTATTTTGATCAAATATTAATGGATCAGAAGTGTAATAAAAATGGGAAATGCAATGACATGAAAATGTCAAAGGATGAAAGGTCACCCACAAGCACTTCTGAAAAGTAAACTTTCTTCTGGCTTCCCAAATGTACATAACACTAATTTAGGCCATATCTAAACAATCCAACAAATGAATTCCACAGTATTTTTACTTGCTGTGCTTCTCTGCTATTAAGAACCTGGAAATGCCATCCTGTATCTCCCAGCTGGACCCAGTGCTAGAGATTTTGCTCAAGTGACAAGCTGGATGACAGAAAAATATATGTCCAGGTTTTACTCCAACATGCAATTGATAGATTTTTAGATATATCAACCAGAGAGCTTTTGGGCCCCAAAGTTGAATCACAGCTTCAGAATTCCTTCAATAGAAGACTAAAAGTAAGCGACTGCTGATTATGGAAGTTAGAATTCAACTTACTCCATTATATAGATCCCCTCTGACACTTAGCCTTCATACACTACTTGTTTCCTATGATGTGATCCCATATGTGCTGAACCAATAGTATCGTATGAAGACATTTGTATATGTAATGAAAAGATGGGAAAAACCTAGATCTTATGTTTCTACAATAATTGATAAAATGGTAATATTAAAAAAAAAAAACACAATCCTGACTTAATTTTTAGTGTATCTAGATAGAATTCAAAAGTGCTAAAATTATGTAAGTAGAATTCTAGAAGTGCATAAAGGTGATATTCAGGGCCAAGATTCAGACACTTAAAGCAGTATCTACATACAAGACAGCTATATAATACCTGTAAGTGAACTAAATGTAATCAATCCAGCTAACCATATACAGACATCAACATTTATAGGAAATTAAAATCCTCTCCAGATCCCACTGGAGTAGCATTGAAGTGATTCTAGCAGAGATTATGCATGTAGATGTATGCACATACGTATCAGATGTGGATCTTACATGCAACCTTAAAGAAACATCAAGACTTGGGTGACAATTTGTACAGATTGTGACCTTTAAATGATGTTGGAAAACCTGTGCTTTACAGTCTTAAATTAGTTGGATTTTTTTTTTTTAATTCATCTTATTATGTGGGCTTAGATGCAGATAAAAAAGAGATGTAGGTTATATTCCAGGAGATAACATGATGAAAATTGACTAAACTAATGAGTAGAGATAAGGCAGTAGTTGATTAGTCCATTTTAATATTACAGTGCTCCTTAGGTTCTACATCTGGTCCATCTCTATTCTCATTGCTTGATGCAAACTGAGCTGGCTTACATTTCTTTACGACTGTTACTGATCGTCGATTTTTTAAGCACTGAAGTGGCCAAACTAGGCTACAGAGAAAGAGCATTCTTAGATGAATTAGTAGTGGAATTGCTTTATTGCCCACAAAATGAGTAATCAGAATGCATAGATACTAACCAGTGGAAAATGTTGGAACTCTAAATGTCCAGTCTGTTTCACTCATCATCATATGAAGGTGCATTCTTGAGTCTTCTCGAAGATCCCATACCAACACTGAACCATCTATTGTTCCAGCAAAAACTAACGTGGTTTTATTGGGACTAAAGCAGCAACATGTCACCTGTTAAGCAGTAAAAATAAGCATGGTTAATACTATGATAAAGACTAATCATTTGATAAGCCTGAAAAATATTTATTTTTCCTGGGTATGCAAATCCAGAAATGACAGATTACAGGTATTTGTGGCAGAAGGACAATTTCTTTAAAAGGGAAGTAGGATACAAGCCTCTCAGCAGGCCTTCCCTTTTCAAGACAATTGTGCAATCTGCATCTACTGCCACAAAACTGAAGGGGGTGATTCAACTGCACGATCGTGATGGGTAGAGAGAAGTCCTGACAACATATGAACGAGTTGTTTTACTTCCATTCACTCTTAAACAATGAAATGGAGTCAAAATTAAAAAAAACAAAAAAAAACAAAAACAAATCCAACCAACAAAACACCATGATCATCCCTACATTCTAGTACCGGAGCACAAAAGGGAATATGAATAACGTTTTGCTCACTAGACTCAGATGTGTTTCTCAAGAGATGAGATATCTTGCAGAAAGACAAGAACACAAAATACACACAGTAAACTCTTTTATTCAGTAGACAGCTATACAATGTTATTAAAACATACCTCTGAGTCACATATTAAAACTTTCTGAGGACTGGAAGGCTGCCAGATGTTCCAAACACATATGATGCTTTTTCTGTTCAGTAAATCAACACCTGCCTTTTCAGGTAATCCATGAACAGAAAGTAGTGTCTGCCTCTGAACTTGAGGCACACAGAGGCAGGATATTTTTCGGTCTGAATGTTTTTAAAAAAAAAAAAAAAAAAATCAAGAAAAAAAAGCAATAAATACAAAAGTAAACTCACTGGAGATGAAAAGCATATTTAGCTGCTATAGCAACAACCAAAGAAGCAAAGATGTAATTATGAAGAATATTTCTATTAAGAGTGGGTTGCTCTGCATGCTATACAATAAAAAAGGAAACAGAGAAGAAATCCAAAATACTAGAACTAAGCAGAAAGCAAAAAGCAGGAGAGCCAGGAAGTTAATAGAATAATTATATTTGGCATAAGCAAGCCAAGCTGATCTGACATCAGTAAGTATACTGAAAATTAAGATAAGTCTCAAACAGGAAACAGCACAGGCCAGGCTTCTAGTTCATTTTAGAATACACACTTTTTTTGTTATGATAGTTCTTTGTAACAGAATTACAGATGCTTTATTTTTCATTTTTCTTCTCATCTGAACATCTACAGTTAATATGGGGAAGATATAACTGCAGTTCAAACACATCAGGCTATATTCTCCCTGTTCAATAACTTTGTTTGATTTGCAACTTTGGTCCTACTGTCAGCATAAAGAGCCTAAATGCAATTATGCCCCTTCGGATGGCCCTTCAACAACAGGGGCAAGAAATTACGTCCAGGACACCCCTACATCATGCTAATCACTGGCTGTGTTTCTGGTTCCACAGCAGCTAGGACGCTCTGATGTTCCCTATGTGAAACCAGTCTGCACAGAGTTAAAGATCAGTGCAACTAAAAGAAAAGCAAGCTTAACATCATCTGTATATCCTGATATGTGCTGTTTGCACTTCAGTCATGACAAAAAGCATGCTATTTTGCATAAGGAAAAGGAGTTCACACTGTATACTAAAAGGTATAGAAAGAAGTTCCCTTACCATGGAGGAATGGCTGGTTAGTATTTAACTGGAAACTGCTATCACTAATAGACAGACTGGTTTGTCGAGATCCTGGTTTCCACTTGGGTTGTGTTGCAACTTGATCTTCCTCTAGCAAAACAGCGATCACCTTTCAAACATAATTACATTTATAGAAATAAAAGGGTCACCTTATCTTTGAGCTTTGCTATTTGTAGCTTTCTAAAGTATGTGGATTAACAAACCTTTATCAACTCTCTTGTTAATTTTTTATCTTTGCAAATACAGCTGTACAGATAGAAAAGTTGCACAATCTGGTTCCAGTCCTTTGCAGAGATACGAATCTCGCTGATAATGAGCATTAAGTAATTTATTTAAATTAGTCAGAACAAGTACTGTAAGCAATCTATCACACTGTGTATTTATGCTCAGAACTCATAAGGGATATTAATTACGTAGAAGTACCTGGCAAGCAGACCGGAGGAAATTTGTTAATCTCTGTGAATCAATTTTAGGTGTTAGAGCTCCATTCACACCTTGGCTGTTTACGGGACCTAAGAAGAAACAAAAACCAAAGCCAAATTTGAAGCTTCAAAAAAGAATAGATTGAGAAAACCATAAGAACATCACGGCAGGAATCAACTTCTCTTCAGCAGAAATAACAGCACTGAAGAATGCGTTCTGCTGGGGAATCAATCGTATCTGCTGCCAGCAGAAACAGCAATCCAGAAGGAAGAAACTATTTCTGCCACTTATTCTCTACTCCATCAGGGGATTCAGAGTGCCTAGAGCAGTTTGCTATCAATGCAGCCTGCCACATGACAAATTCTGGTAATTAAAGGGTACAAAAGAGAAAGTTCACATGCATACATCCATAAATGAATAAGACTAAAATGTTCTTCACCTCCAGATACAAGGGCACTTTCTCCTGGATGCTGTGTCCATTTCTCCAATGTCTCAACTTCCTCAGTCTGAACGTCTCTCTCAAGATTGTCCTCATTACACTGGACATATGCCTGAAGTAAAGTGATCAAGAGATGGCTGACACAGCTAAGAATGACAGCATATAACTGAATAGAACTTAAACAGTCATTTTAAAACTGATGTGCTCAACCTCTCCTGTTTGTAAGTTCAGAGCTAAGCATATCGACCGTATCTTGATGCATAAATGCATCATACCCAGCATACTTGGGACAGTAAGCCAGAGATGTACAGAAAAATCCCTTAGAAAATGGGGAAGGAACACAAAAAGCTCCTAACACAGAAAGGAAATTGTTTGACCAAAACATTTTGATATCATTGCTCTATGGTAATTAAAGCTCAGAGATGAAAAACAGTAATTCATTACTTTACTGGCCTGTTAGCTTTAGTAACTTTCATCTGCAATGAAAAATATTTTCCAGAAAAGAATCAGCCCTTTCAGGATTTAAACATTACTGCACGTTTGTTACCCACCTGTTTAGTGTTCATTTTACCAAAACTCCTGATATACATGTCGTACTCATTTACAGGAGGCAAATCCAATAAAGAAAAACTAACTGAGAAGTCCAGATCTATTAGTGGGAGAAGTTCTGAACTCCGTTTTCTTTAGAAGGAATTACAAGAGAGAAACAAAAATGGTTAGAGACCAAGTATTTGGTATTCCAAAAGAAAAATAACCTGATTTTGTACAGTACCAGAGATGTAACAGTCCATTGATCTATGTAAATTGAAGCTGTATCAAAATTAATTGACAGATAAAAATATATCAACAGAAGTACATATATCATTAAGAGTTCTCACTTGATGTTATGCTGAGATAATTATATTTGAAAATGCAATATTGCCTGCAAATGGTAAACTTATGTGGTTTTTTTATTAAACTTAAACTATCAAAGCCTAGCACGATCACCTTGCCTGAGTATTCAAAAGCTGTTCTGTGAGCTAACAGATGAATCTCTCTTCCTTCCCATAGTTGGTATGGTGGCTAATTCTCCTAAACTCATTTTATTAACTTACATAACCTGTATGTACACATGCTTTATAAAGATCATCTATGACGTCCTGGTTTTGTTAAACTTACACAATTGTATTTACTCTCCCTTACACTTCCAGGTTTTATTAATATACTTTGTGCAAATACAACCCAGATACAGTTATGGACATTGATGACATTGATTGTATTTTCTTATTTTTACTTCTGCTTCCTAACACACCACTTCTTCACAAACATTGTGGACACGCATTGCCAAGATCTAATTCAAATGTATAAAAGTTGCTTCCTAGTTACAAATCTTAATGATACAAGCAGACAAATCTTTAAAAATAAACTAACAAGCCTCATTTTAATACTTAAAACTCCAGAGTGCCACAGCTCATTTATGGGATGCTTCCAGGCTATGTACTGGAAGTGTTGTATGATCAGAGCACTAAATTCCACAACTTCTTTCTCTTTCCATGAAGATGCTAGTTATCCTCACAGGCTACATACAGTGCTAGCATGTACACAAAGTCTTAGACACAATCAACCACCATACATAATCAGTAGAGGCTGAGAAACAGTTTAGAAGGTAATTCTCTGGAGATGCCTTTCTGAGTTTCCTGATGTCTCCACTGTACAGAGAAGCAGCATAAACAATGAACTTACATAAAATTTGAGCATATAAATTTAGACAAGGTGAATTAGACAGCCTAGACAATAAAGTCTCCCTTATGTGAAGGCTAGCTGATTAGGTACAGCCATGAAGCAATGGAATCTAGTGTTATCAATAAAATTTAATATTCTTGCTTTATGAGTTCAACTGATGTACAGAAAATTAGAGATATATGCAGTGCTTCAAATAAATCTGGAGCCCTTGGCAAGTTTCACAACAAAGAGGCATCAATTTGTTTCTTTAATACAGAGCTGTCTTAGATGTCTCAAACCTAGGTCAATTTTATGAGTGTAATAATATGTTTCTACACCAACTGGTATTACCCCTGAAAGGAAACATGCTATTTTCACAAGAGTAGGTGCCATATACAGGCTCAATTATTTCAAGACATTACAGTTTCGCAGAGCCTCGAGAGCAGATAAAAGGCTTGCCCTTTAGTACTGTAAGTCAATATCTAATTAAATAACCGAAGAACCACACAAAGAAATTACAAGCCTGGCAACTCCTTTGGTAATAAAATGATATATAGATAAATTTCTCTTATAAAACGACACACAGCAAAGCCCGTAGATTATATTTAAGAATTTATTACTGTTAGCTTACAACATAAGCTTCAGGCTTTGAGTCAAGTAATATAAATTTCACATATTACAATAATAATGAATAAAATTACAACTGGTAAATAATCCACACAAAATGGTAACTCGGTATGCCACATACTTACTTCTGCTTACTAGCCATACTTCGGCTACTTTGTCGTTGGTTTGCCATTTGAAAATCCATGAATATTCCACAAAAAGAGCTTCTGGCAGAAGGGTATTGCCTTTCTGTAATATTATAAAGCATTGTTAGTATAATAATTCACACTTTACAGTGTATTAAAAGGTAAAGCCATAAGTCTAAAAAGCAACTGATTTGTTACTAAAGTTACTGGCTTTCACATTACACAGCATGCTCTAGCACAGTGAGCAGTACAATAAGCTCCTTAATGTCAGCAATGGACCACCATTTTTCCCTTATTATGGTCCATTACTGACCAATTCAAAACGACTGATCATTGTAATTTTAATTTTGGAAGACTATAATGGAGAAAGTGTGTCTTTCTTTCTCCTGCCATTAGCAGTTACTTTGTTCCCCCCCCCCCGTGTATAGTAAACCACTCCATGACCAGTTGTAAAAATCCTATCTAATTCATGCAGACCTGCAGACCACACCATGTGCATGCTACGCCTCTAAATAAGAATTCATCGCTACAGCTAGTGGAGAAGCTCATCAACACAAGCTTAACTGATGCCCCTGGATGAACAAGTGAAATATTGGAAACTGTTACTTTAAAAGCAATAGTTAATGGAACAACTACAGTATCTGATGCCATGTCCGTTTTACTTCCTTTCCTGGCTACATAGTAGCTAATGACCTTAATATCCAGCTTCCAGTCAGGACCAACGGTGTTTCACTTCCTCAGAGGAAGACTGACTTCTCAGATAATTCTTGTAAAATGCTTTTAAACTTCTAGAAGTCATTACCAGAACGATCAACAACCATTTTAATGAAATGAGATGAAAACTTCGTTAAAAAGAATGTTGTGCAATTTACAATACAGCACTAAGTGCTACAATTCAGAATTTAAAAATCTGATTCTTAGAATTCCATCCTGTTCATTAGATCTATAGCATTAATGGAGCTCTTTTACTGTCTCCATATTGTTTATTAGAAAACCAATAATAGTTCTATCAGTCTTCTGCAAGAAGAAATTCATATCACAGTATACTGGTTCTGATTTGCAATAACTCCTTAAGTGAAAATCGTATCAATACTGTAGAGATTTGCAGCAACTCCATACTGTTCTGTGACTACTTTGTACAAAACAGAGTAAAAAGCTGTTTAAAGATTCTTTTGCACAATGATTCTATACTGCTGCTCACATGAGTAGAGAGTGAAAAGGGGAAGCACAGCTCTAGTCAGTTAAGTTGATCTGCCAGTCACAGTTACTAGAGCAACAGAATACAAGATAATTCCATAGCCACAATTCAGCAAAAAAACCCTGCATTTTAAAAGTGATCTAGAACTATATATTTAAGTAGTATCCGAATTTCTCTCATCTTTCCACCCAAAGCAGTAGCTTCAACTTTGCTTAAAAGAATAAGGCAAACTAATGTCACCGGAAGCCTCAAACTGTTCTAGCACTCCTCCAGTTTTCAAAATCCAGACTCTCATATCCTCCTCTTACCCAAAATAAGGTATATTAAATGCCAGTCTGTAAATTTTCATACTTCACATTTTAAATGATTAGTAATTCCCCTGAATCATTCTGTAGCAATGTGAAAGTTACAGTGCTTACCCACAAACATGACTCATCCAGAGGAACAGATTTCTGCCTCTAGGCAGACATCTAGAAAAAGGGGCCTGTTTATTTGCAAGCTGCATGTTATTCTTACATTTAATTAAAAAAAGATGTATCTAGTCACATACCCACGACTGGTTCCTTTTTTTCATTTTCAATTTTCTTTGGCAGCAAAGTACAAATTCTATCATTTTCTGCACTAATTGCTCTTTGAATTTCTTCGATTTCCGATGTCCTTTTAGAAAGTGGAACATCTCTCAGGTTTTCTCCTGCACCTTTTGCTTCACCACTGTTGTCTTCATCATCATCAAAATCATCTTCGTAATCCTTCAATAACAAGACTTTCAATAACTAATAAACATGGATTATAGTTCTATGTTTCAATGTAGTTTTAAGGAAAAAAAAATTACATCCAAAGCAAAACCCTCATACAGATGGCTATAAACCCTGACTGGCAGGCGTTTGAAAAGAACCACTTGATAGAAATAAAACAGTGTGTCTTGACTGTGTGGTAATTTTAATCAGGAGGAGACAATGCTACAGCAGTGTTTTCAGGGCCCAAGTGAAGGCACTGCTGTGTGTCAATACTTTTTTTCTACATATTTTTGCAATGAAAAACAATGAGGCTTTTTTCCCCTCCTGAAACTGATTATTTGCTCCCATTATTCAAAAAAAGTGAGGATTTTTCATAACAATAATTTTAACAATTGAAATCCAGGAAGACAGAAAGAGCATCTTGTGAAGACTTCAACTCCAAAAAAAAAGTTGCTTCCCAGCCCCCAGTGAAAACTAAGTAACCATGCAGCAGAGTTTCTACATAACCTTTTAGTTAGCTACTACCTACTGTTGGCCAAGTTATGGTCACCAACACCCAAAGAGAGTAAGTAAAAACCATGTAACATTCTGTACTTTTTATTTCTGTCTAAAAGTTAATCACTGTTTTGATATTTGAGAATTACTCCAAAAGGTCATTTGTATGCTTCTACTTACTTCAAAATCATCTTCATAATTTGCCGAAAAGTTATCAAATCCTACATCTGAATCAAAGATGTGTGTATCTTTCACTTCCTAAATGAGACAAATAAATGAAACTGTTAAATAGTCTCAAAAAGAAAAAAAAATTTTTCATCTGCCAAACCTTAGTACAAAGATAGACAAATAGTTGCTGTCAGGTATTTCTACACTTTTAAGCAAACATACAACAAATTCAGTTTAGAAACATAAATAGAAGTGTATTAATAAGTGATAATTACTGACTTAGAAAAATAATACAGGAAGACAAAACTTAACCCTATCTTAGAAAGATCAACTGTTTGTCCCACCAGTATTTTTTATTCTGAAATATATAAAAATTGCTATGTTGCCTATAATTTCAACAGTATACAGTAGCTCTTATGATGATGTAGCAACAAAATAAGACTGTTCTACTTCTTTGAGGATTAGACAAAATTATCCCTATACCTGAGTTATACTGAGAGACTGAATCTGTTAGCAAATAGTGCAGATGCTGGAATCAGGAAAACAGAGACATGGATACAACAGGAAAAAAAAAGATATATTTATACATAATTTGGTTAACATTGAATCCTCTACTGTATTTACATAGAGCATCCTTGAATGTATTTACAGCATCCCTGAAATAACTTCAACAAAATTGCCTCTCTCTAGCTTGTTGAACTTGATCAAAATAATATCATTTAACTACCCCAACATGTACCCCAAACAAGCAAAGCTTAAAATGATACACACCAATCTATACCATCTTTAGTCAGTCCTTTCCTTCAATAGCCTCTTTAAAGTCAGAGACTATATTATCCATGTGTAAGGGATTTCAAAAAGGAAATATATGTGAGGTTTCACGAAAATTATCCAGCGTAACAACATACTTATTAGCTGCTTCTACTTTAGCAACCAAAGGACAGCAGCTGGTTATCAAATGACAACTTAGGCACACTTTTAATCCTTTCACCAATCTTCAAGACCTAGAGCCACCTAGTGCTTTCAAAAGTATCAAGGACATTATACAGCAGTGAACAGCTTCTATGGATACCTTACTTCTCAGAGTCATCAGACTTCCAGAACCAGGATTACAGTACTTCGGTCTTTCTGGCTGCTGCTTTTGTAATTTCTGAGACCAATCTTTGGATCAAGAATAAATTACATTATCCATGTTGTCCATCTGGGCAAAAATGACCAAAACTGTGCAAAATTTCCCCAGCTGGTTCTCCCTGCAAGGTTGCAGGTACCCAGCAGTAACTAATTCACACAGAATTTAAAAAAAAATCCTTATTCTGTTTAGTCAGACAAACACACTAATACACCCATAAAGATGATTACAGTCTTCATTACCTTACTTACAGCAACTGTCTTAAGAGACATTCATGAATTACATAAATTACCTGAATTTTACTTGGCATATTATTTGCCTGTGTCAGCTGTTTATAGAAAGAAATACTATAGGTATGTGTAGGCGATTTGTGTTACATGTGTAAAGTCTTTCCAAGTTCCAAAAGCAAGTAGTTTACCTCTTGATTTGTGTCCCTTTCCTCCTTTTCAATGAGTTTTCCTTTATCTTTTACAATCCTATTGAAGAAAAGAACATCAATTTTATTGGTTAACTCAGAAGAAAGCACTAGTTTTGTTTTCTTTTCATTGTTGTTTGTTTTAGAAAAAAAATAGTTGATAATTTCCAATAAAGATTTTTACAAATACTTTTACAATCTCTATTTATGGTATGAAATGATAACGAAACAGACAAGTGAATTATCAGCTAAGAACTGCAAAAACCTTGTCCAAATTTAATGCCTACAATTGCATCAAAACAGAAGAAAAATTAACCAGGAAAAAAACCCTACCAAACCCACACAGCTATTAGTTTTATTAGTATCTGCAGCAAACTGGAGATCATCATCAGGTTGGTGTAATGTGTTCCAAAGCTATAAATTGGAGATCAACAGTCAGACCTGGTCTTTCATTCAGGCGTTTTATTTGAGGACAATACTATCAGGGTCAGAGAGCAGACTAAAATCAACAACCAGCTCTGCTCCTTAACAGTTTATTTGATTATTTTATTAGTAGAGTATCTGTCTTGAGTAAGCGGGTATTCATAGATACTGCTGTTGGGAGTGACGAACATAAGAAAAGGCAACAATCAAAATCAAAATCTGGCTGGATCCTCTCATGACAAATCAGAATGATTCAACATTGAAAGTGCTTGACGCTGAACCAGGGTTTTGGGACATCCCAATAAACAAAATTGCCTTCCTTGCCATTCAGAAATTGCTAACTCCTTTTTCCCAGCTATGCATAAAGAATGACTCCCCCCCAACACTGCATCAGCAACAGCTTCAAAATACAGCCTGCATATATATGCTTGACACAGTGGAGTGCTGCTGTGAGGAAGCATCCCAATACACATATTCTGATGGGTTTGGGTTTTTTTTTCTTTTGTACAGGAAAAGACTTCCACAATGATAAAGTCTTCTGCTGACTGCTTGCCCAACTAAGAAGGATATTCCAATCAACAGGCAAACCACCAGCCATAGTCCTCCCTCTGCTACCACACTGCCCACCAGAGATCCAAAGTGGCCCACCACTGGAGAAATGAAGAGACCAATGTTCACTCAACACATAATGCATCGCAGAAGGGAGCAAGTTGATTCCAAAACCAGGCCATGGGGGAAGGGAGGACCCAGGTGACCAGTCCAATCCCAATCATATAGTAACTGCCAGGAGAAAGCCTCATAATTCCCTTCCTGTCTCAATCTTGTCCTGCCATTACTGGAAACTGCTTGCTGTGAAGAGTCAGGGAGCCCTTTCAATAACCAAAATCCTCACACAACACAACCACTGTAGAAACAAACCTCCCAACCCCACTGCAAGCAGCATCAGCTCTTATAGAGGTGGTTTCTTCCCCCGCTTCCAATTTAATGTGGAAGGTGGGGGTACCTGGTGACCCCTGGGTGAAAACCAATCAGGAGGGTCTTTCTTGTCTGGTTATGGACATTATCCATATGCCAACCCTCATTCAGGGCTGGGGGTTTAACCCCAGCACTTCACAAAGTCACTATGACTGAAGTAATCTGTCCCATGCTGAAGGAACAATAGTTAATACTTCTCTAATGGTGGTAGCCACTTCACTATCTCTATCTGTGTCCCCGGAAGCCAGCATGTCACTCTTCTATTTAGCTAAGAAGATAAATTAGGGTTTAAGAATGAGAACTGTGACTGACAATATATTCAGCAACTTCTATAGGAATTTCACACGGCTGAAGCACTAAAGCATGCAAAGAGAACTAGAATATGCAGAGAACTGCAGTAATATTTTATATTTGCTATTAGTAAAAGTTAGAAATATCATCCTGAAATTTTACTGATCCTACTGATGATGACCTGGATCTTTCCCTTTCACATACAATAGTAAAATTGAGATATATACACACATGCATAAGAAGTGTTTTAGATACCATCCAGAGCAGGAACTTAGTAGAGATAGTCAAATTAAAATAAACAATAAAAGAGAATCCTGTGTAGTTCACCATGGACCTCACATGTCCACATGACTGAACAGTGAATTTCTAGGTGGTATAATACAGCATTTCTGCCTCACAAAGTGTCCAGTTTAATATATATGTAGTTTGCAAGGACTGCAAAACACCTCTTGCTATGCTAGACAGAAAAAGAAAAAAAAGGAATGTAAATACATACATTTTTAGATGAGTCCTCTTAAGAGGCAAAACACAGATTTGTATTCTTTATTAATTGCTATAGCATTGTACAAAGGGCCTATGAAGAAAATTATATTCACCCTAGATAACTGAAATCAAGAATTCATGCTTATTGTTTTGGTGGTGACTGAATTGTAGTAGATACCATATAGTATATACTTATTTTAAATCTCTGACTTCACCTTACATGCCGATGGCTCATTTCTTCTTGAATTCTCTCCTCCTTTTTGTATTCACTGTTCTGTAAAAGAAGTCGCAATATTTGTGTGCCAGAAATGGTGGGAGGCAATATGTATATAATAAACCAGTATTAGTAGCAGCAATCTTAAACAGAAAGAAAGGTTTCTAATTAATTATTTCAAGGACATATATTTATCAGTCATCGCTTGCAGGATGTTCTGTGTATGAAGTCATGTCAGAATAATCCCCCCATTACAGATACAGCAAGCAAAGAAAATAAACACTCATAAAAGACATGCTATGCACATAATACAAGCTGCTTCTGAAAATACTAAATACTGGGGGCTGAACTTTGGCTACCTCCCCTTCCACAATGCCTTTCAGAAAGGTAACGAGAAGGGACCTTCAGTCTTCTCCTTTGCTTAACAAAATCTTAAAATGCTTCAGCTAAGTAAATTTTGGCTTTTTTACACTATATGTTACATTAGCATACTAGTCACAAAGGTTAAAAAATCCTCCGAGCCCAGTGTATCTTGCTTAAATTGTGAGCTCAGAGCACCTTCCTAAACAACCCCCAGGTGTGGCTGAAAAACTGATAGGGGCTAAGGGCTGGCCTCAGTAGGCTGTGGCCAGCCTCTTTCAAAGAATGGTTTTTTAACAATATGGATGGCAACAACTCACACCAGTTGGAGCCAGGGACAGAGAACTGTCTCAAGCATTTTCAACCATAAGTATAGGGACTTTTATATTCTGTACTATGAAGGTTTGCCTAAGTTTGGAAATGTATTCAATAAGTTGCTTAAGAGAAAGGTGCTTTTCTCTATCCCTAAACATCAGAAAAAAGAAACATAACTCTGAGACAGAAGCATCAGTGTGTATATTCTGTAACAGCTACTCAAGTAAATTTTCAAGGAAGCCAAACCTTGAGCAAGCTCCTGATAAACTTTTAAATTCTGCTGCAGAAAGTCAGTTAGAGGAATCACCTGTAACAGGCCCCTACACTGAAGATGCCTAGTGTTTTCACTAGAAAATATATTTCTGAACTTCCATTATTGAGAAGCTTGTACATCTCCACTCATCATGCAGCAGAAGAAACTACCCTAGATTATCTGAATGGTTCTATGTTCCATAAAACTTACTTGATTTTGAGTTACAAATTATTATATATTTCTTCTCTCATTTTTGTAGAATGAGTATTTGCATTATAAAAAAACAGCTAAAGATGCCAAAATTTTGATTGAATCTCTAGAATATAACATCATGCTCTGTATTAGAAACATAAAAGATATTCTATGGCTTCTGAAGCAAATGGATCAGAATATGAGGGTCTGTGCTCATGTGCCTGCTTGTGAGTCACATGCCCATGATCCTTCACAGGCAACATCAAAAACAGCTTCTGCTACATCCTATTTCTTTTTCTATAAAGGCAGTCAAAACACTTTAATGGATCTCTAGCCTAATGTCATCTCCACTTCAGAATGTTAGTCAAAATTTCAAAGGTCATAGCAATGAAGAATTTTATCAATAAAAGGTGTTTCTACCACATAGACAAGTTTCTAGTTTAAATTTCATGGAAGGAATCAGCTCTGGGTTAGGATACTTAAATGCAGGTGTATTATTTTAACCCACCACTTTAGCCTCAAATTTCAGAAAACGTTGATTGACAATCCTATTTTTATTATTCACCTTATCAATGATGATATATCAACAATTAAGGTATAAGATAATGTTTTGAAGTTTGAACAAGACTCACCCTTAGATCATGCTTCTTTCTTTCATTTTCTTTACTTTTTAATCTCTCATTAGCTTCTGCTGGTTGCCCTTCTCTGTCTCCATGGGAAGATCCCTCTTTAGATCTCTTTGATTTATGTTTTTCTTCTGCTTCCTTTTCATAAAGTTTATGACTTCTCTCTTCTGAAAGCCTCTCTTTTCCTGGCCTAACAGAATGTTCTCTTTTTCCTCTGTGTCTTCTTTCTCCCTCATCCAACTCTTGATCTTTCTGTAACTTGTTTACATGTTCACCTTCTTCAGCTTTGTAGGCTAAAGTCTTCTCAGTGCTCTTTTTGGTAACATTATCCTGGAAAAATAAAAATAACAATGAAGACTTAGAAAGTTGTCCAAGACTTTTTTATCTTCACAAATATATCCATTTTTGACTGTTAGGATGATGGATTTGAAAGTACCTAATGTCTTTCTGACACATGTATCTTCCAGCCTTTTTTTTTTTTTTTTTAAAATCTCCTACAATCACAAATTTCAAATTATCATAGCACTTGAAAATCTGATATTTCTCCTGGGAGACTGTGTATTTTGCTACAGAAAATTCTTTGGATTAGGTATTCTTCACACAAAAATTTGTTCTTTGTTTACTAAGTGGTCTAATATAAAATAGGATGTATACTTACCAATATCCTTGTAATAAAGAAATAAATAGAAGACAGAAAATTTTAATGTAGCTGTACAAAAATAAAGCAGTTTCCCACAAAAATTTTATTTTTACTTGAAAAAAAAGAATGAAATATGTCCTTAAAATAATATGGTTCAGATATATTTTGTTGTGTGATTTGTACACTTGTGAGGACCTTACTAACTGCACCTACTGCATTCCTTGGGAACTGGAGTCTGATCCAGTTCCTATATAATTCTACAATTTTATCTTATTCCATTATGAAACACTTAATTCCTTCTCCTTCCTTTACCTTCTTTTCTACACGTCTTCTTTCTCGCTCTTCACTTCTTGTTTTTTCCTCCCCTAGAAAAAATATATATAAATTAATGAACAAATTTTATTATACTGCATGTCTGTACAAAATTAACTCCAGTATGCAGAAAAGAGTATTTCAGTGACGTAGATTTTCTAAATCATAAGAGGTTTCTAAAATAACTTAACAGTCTGTTGAAATTATCTCTACAAAGTGAGTTACTCCATTTTCTGTCCTAATGAATCCCCCTCTCCTCAGCTGGCTTGTGTAATAGAAAGAGTAACCACACATGGTATTAACTTCAGCAACCACCCTACAACTTGGGGATTAAAACAGATCACTCAGGAGAGAATGTCCAGGCAGGAAGGTACTTATGCTTTTCAAGTCAACTGACCAATAAAACAGTGACATTCACCCTCTCTTCACAGGTTACCACAGGATTCCATGAGGATATACATTTCAGCTGGTACTCTCAGCTGCCTGTTTTCATCCTCTCTGTACCAATGAGGTATGGTTTCAGAGTATTTCTATCTAAATATTGAATATTTCAAAGTACAAAAGCAACTCAAAGCAACTTACCCAAAGGATGCCTGCTTTCTCTTCTGTGATGTTCTTTTTCTCTTCCCTCAAATGACTTCATATTATTTAGCCTATCTATTTCCTTTATGTCATGTCTTTTATGCTTTTTGTCTCGTTCTCCATCGCTTTCCCTGTATTTATCTTTTGGTACACTGTACCTTTCCTTCTCTGAACTTAACTCTTGAAGCTTCTCTTTGTACCTTTCTCTGTCTCCTTCTCGCTGGTGCTCTTTCCCCGTTTCTCTCTCTCTCATTTTATCCCTGTCTCTTTCAGCCGATTTAAATCTCTCTCTTGTTCTTTCCTTGCTCTTCCCTCTATCTTTGGGTTCACGCTTACGAGTATCTGTGTCGTGAACAGACTTCTCTTTTTTCAGTTTCTTTTCTCTGTGCTTTTGGTCTTCATTTTGACTAGCTGGTTGTGATGACTGAAAAAAAAAAAAAGTTCTATTATAATTCAGCAATCTATTTTGTTTAGCGTATTCAGGTGAAATAAAACAATGGATTGCTAACTATGAATTTAACTTCCCAAGCTGTATTAAAATGCTGATATATTTCTAGGCTTACTTTGGAAAATTACTAACATTATGTCTCTACTTACTGTAAAAAGAACTAATAAATGAAAAACAATAAGCTGCATTTTCAATGTCTTTGAAAAGAATATGGTAAAACCAAAAATTTACTGTGGAAGCGTCGGCTCTGTTTAGAGCTAGGCAGAAAAATTAACTAAGCATCTTAATGCTTAGTTCACTTATCTCACTTAGACAGAAGCTGTGCTATCTTGTAAAATATGTTACAGATATAAACAGTAACAGACTGAGTATCCTGCAGCTGCCTTTAGAATTAGTATTAGCTTTCACTTGAACACAAAGTAGCATATAAAAACTGTGCAAGTAAGTTTTTGGCCTTGATCCCTTGAGGATGCAACTATTCTTACATTTTTTCTAAAGCTGTAAGAGTCATATTTTAACCTTCCTGAACAAAGTAGCACAACTCCCACTGATTTCACTACACCCACAATTTCAGCTATTTACTCAATTGGGAACAGAACTTGCTTTGATTATAGTCAATGAGTAAAGAGAATCAAACTTTATCCATCTGTTTCACAGAAATGAAAGTCTAATCACATCACTTCTGTTGGAACTAAAGCATTTCAATTCAGTGTTACAGAATTTCTAAAACAGACAAGGTGCTTATACCATAGCACTGTCACTGCAATAATGGGGAGCTTTGAAATCAAATTGATAAAAAGGTAAGTAATGAATTAACAAGTAGGATGCTTTACTCTACCAAAGGACTAATGAAGATCTGCATGAGACATAGAAGACACATATTGGAAAACAGCTTTTCAAAAAATACAACACAAATTAATATGATGAATAATCATATATAACAGATCTATATATATTATAATATATAGATCAATCATCATGGATAATATGAATATCAATGGTGTAGTCAACTGGAGCCTGAATGCCTATTTAAGCAGCAGATAAAGTAATTAATCACTTTAAAAGCACATGACAGAGATTGTAGGTGATGGTAACAAATATACACATAGGAAATAATACACATGTAGGAAAGTGGAGAGGCCAGGTTGATAGGGCTTTGAGCAACCTGGTCCAGTGTATGGTGTCCCTGACCACGACAGCAGGGTTGGAACTAGATGGTCTTTAAGGTCCCTTCCAACCCAAACCGTTCTGTGGTTCTATGATCTTTGTAACTGGTAATTTTTGAGTGGGATCATGACTTGTACGGTCAGGAATATGCTTTGCCAAAAAAAGCAGAGCTGTAACTTGGATTTGGGTGGTCAGCAAATCAAACACAACTATGTGCTCTGTGACTACAACAACAATGTAATTTTTTATGTTTACCTAATTAAGAAATCTGTAATCTTACATAGCTTGTGTGGCTAGAAGCAGTTGAGTGAGCCAGCCTCTGGACACACTTGGACTAGAGAGATTCAATAACAATCAGTTGTGGCAAAGACATTAGCAGCTACACATTAAAGATCTGCACTGATTGTATTCAGTGTTGCAGATTTAAAGTGTCTGGTGGACCAAAAAGCTTTAAAGAGCTATTAGAGATCCCACAAGGCAGAGTTGGCTAGTAGAACAAGAAGTCAACACTCTATGTTTAGAATGTCAATAAATTCCACTGCTGTAAAGTAACAACATCAAAACTAGTAGAAATAAAATAAAATCACCCTAAGATGTTTTGTAAGTTCTTCTGATTTCCAAGTATCTTCTTTGGTTCTTCTCTAGAACAGAAAAGACAGCAAAACACTCAGTAATCACTAAAACAAATGAGAAATTTTAATCTATTGAATATTTTTAAGTAGTTCTTTGAAGGATGATGACTGTGTTCAGAGTGATGTGAGCAGGTGACACTTATTATCAAATTTAGCCTAGGTAAAAATTTACTATAGATTAACATAATAGTTGCTGATAAATATTTGAATAATGAGATGCAGTGATGGAAGATAATAAAAATATGGTGCCCATTTTCTTTGTAATACATTATACAGAAGCAGCATTTTAGCAGCATATTTTAATTTGTTAATTACTCTACCTTAATAAAAAAAAATTATCTTTTCAAACTTAAATTTTATAGAAGATTGTAGTGGACTGGCAAACTTCACTTAAAGTTGATCAGAAGTACCAAGAACACAACCTTTGCAACAAAACAAAAGTGCCCTTTTCAGTTTTATTTTCTTCTGATCCTTAAAAAAAAGCAAAAAAAGTACAAATATTTACTACTGCAGAAATTCAGATAAGAAAGTAAAACCAAAATTGATCATTTTCTTGAGTGAAGTTTTAAACCCTAAAAAACTTAACAGGACTTGTGTGAGGGTAAGCTGGAAGGAAGGATATGGATGGGAAGAGAACAGTGCTGTATTACAGTCTCAAATAGAAACCTATTTAAAATCGTTATATATAGGATTCTGTTTCAGTTTTAGACAATATTTAGGTACATATCAGCAAAAAAAGAAAGAATGCTAGTTATGTTAATGTTCTAAAACTAGTATAACCAGTAGACAGTATCCGATAGGGTAGTTTGGGATTTATTTCAAAGCTGAGGCAAAAAGCATGCAACAAACATTTAGAAATGATTCTCTGGTGCCCAAAAAGGTGCATCTGCCACCTTGCAGGGGTCTGCAGTTTTCATCTCCCTTCCACTGCTAGAATCTGTTCCTTTTATATACAATGATTTTCCAATGAATTCTTCACTTTTGCAGGAAAGTAAGAAACAGAAAAAAAGCTTAAATTTAATACCTTTGAGACCCCTGTCCCTCTGCACACAAAAGAAATGTTGAAAATAAACTTTAAACTCAACTCTCTTCTAATTCAGAAGTCCTTATATACTCACTTAAATCCAGATTAAGACTAGTTATTTAAACCACACTGGGGTTTAACATAATTCAACCACGTGAGAGCATAGAGAGATCATCAGCTGACATAAAATGCCACAGCTTTATTGAAGTCAAAACACGCTCCACAAGTTTTTAACATTTAAGTTTCCATCTAAACAACTGACACTTAACAAAACTAAACAATAAGCAGGTTGCCTTATTAAGTTCCTGGAACAAGATACCTTGCTACTTTAGATAAAGTCTTCATGAGAGATAGAGGGTTTCTTCACTCACAACCTAGAAAGGCTGAAGGTTTTCAGAACTTATACTTCTAAGTAAGTTAAAAACACAGTTAGCTATTTCTCTAAAGAAACAGAAAAACAGTACCATTTGTAGTTTTTAAAACAGAAAATATTTATCGTTCATATTTCCAGTGAGTTGCCATTTCAGAGCCCTCAAATAAGTAAGCAGTGCAAGGGATAGACTTGATTTCACAGAACAGAAACGGTTAAAAGGCTTTCTCAGGGTGCTGCTGTTAGTACAACCCACTCTGGGTCTTGGGCAGTTTTACAGCAGCACACCTGAAAAATTTTAGATCCAAGTCTAGCTTTCTATCTCAACTCACTAACTCACCTTCTTTCAGTAAAGCGGTTACTGATGTATCCCAGTTACTGAAACACTATCTGAATTAAAGGTTTTTTAGAATGGTCTTAACAAGCAATCTCACACACCCTGCCCAGCCATATTTCTCCATTTTCTGTTCACTACGACCACAGATTAATGAGCTGCAAAATCCAGATTCACAGAAAAGTAACAAAAGTGATTTAATACTTCTGCTTCTTCAAGCAATTGTGTAACACAGTAATTGATGCTAGCTTGTCCATGTGGTTTCATTTCCTTTATTTTGAAGCTCTACAAGTATTTCATAATTTAACAACACAGTCCAAAAGTTATGTGGGTTCCTAAAGAGCTAAACCCCAACAATCAGTGGTTACAGAAATATAGATTATTTAAGATACTTTATGCAAAACCTGAAACGTTAACAGCTTCGGGTATTTTTTCTAAACCACTTAATTCTCTTCTGCAGGAGGACCCGTGGCTGATACAGCCTCATCCTGCTAGAAGAATAAGGATCTCCTGACTGCCGCTATTCAGGTGAGAGTTTCATCGGCGCGCTGACAAAACAAGGGAACTTGAATAGTCCAGGGCGCGCCGTGGGGGCTCCCGGGGCCAGCAGAAGAAACGCTGGGGCCGCTTCCCGCCTTCTCCCTGCAGAAACCCTGCCCTTGGCCAGTGCCGAGGGACACAGGCGGCAGCGGCGAGACGCGGCCGGGTGAGGGGACAGCTCCGGCAAGCGCCAAGGCACCCAAGGCAGAAAGGGCGGGGACCAGGGGGAGGCCCAACAGGTGAACAAGCCTACCCC